CTGATCTTTGATTAGGGAGGTTCTGCCTGCATACATTTACTGGGCAGCACTGGGCATTTCTCTTTACCTCTCTGCCCCTCAATCGCAGAGCTGAGTGCTAATCACTTGCAGCAGTTGTGAGGATGGACAGGATCGTATCAGCTGGGGCCCTCGCACAGAACAGGGTGCTTAGCAAATGCTTTCTTTCTTTCTGTGCCTGCAGGGCAGGCATCCTCTCTGCTCCATAAATCCCACTTATTCCCCTCTTCTGTGTGATCGAGGGAGTAAGGTTTCCATCCAGTCTGTGCACAGATCCACAGAAACACAAGGGCATGTACACAGTGTCCAATAGCAACCTGCCAGGCAGTGGTGGCACACACCTTTAATCCCAGCACTTGGGGAGGCAGAGGCAGGCAGATTTCTGTGAGTTCAAGGTCAGCCTGATCTACAGATCAAGTTCCAGGACAACCAGGGCTGTTACACAGGGAAAAGCCGCCTGAGCGGTGGCAGGAGGAGGAACCGACCTAACAGCAACCTGACACTAGTGAATGGATGGAGCATTCAGACTGCACACTTAGTAAAGGCCCTCTTGGATGTGTGACTTGACCCGTGTCTGGTTGTTCAAAGTGTTCATGAGGCAGGAAGTGTGACAAAGAAGGAGACGCGGGTCTAGAACCCATCTCATAGCTGACCTGTTTGCCCTTGTGAAGAGCAGGCAGGCGATCACAAAATTCTAGGGGTGTTTAGAAGTATGGACAGGAAACCAGAAGCCAATAACCACTGTGAACCCCAATAACCACTGTGAACCCCAACACCCACCGTCCTACAGAGGAAAAAATTCCAAGCCAATGTTCTCTCAATGTTTAGTTTTATGTGTAAGGATGTTTGCCTTCATGTATGTCTATGCACCACGTACATGCCTGGGACGGGAGTTATGAGCAATCATGAGCTGTCATACAGATGCGGGGAATTTAACCTGCGTCCTCTGGAGGATCAGCTGGTACTCTTACCTGCCAAGCCATCTCTCCAGACTCACAATGTCTCCTTTTAATGTTCTAACAGTGGGTGTTATTTTTTCATCCAAATCCAATCTGAACCAGAGCACATAAGCAGAGGGCATAGGCATAGAAACTGGATAAGGGGATTCTTAGACTTCCTCTGTAGCCCTTGGTACATGTTCCCACATATGAAGGGTCTAAACTAGGGATTAGATTTCTTTTATTCTCTTTTTTCTTTTTTTGGTTTTTCGAGACAGGGTTTCTCTGTAGCTCTTGGAGCCTGTCCTGGAACTAGCTCTTGTAGACCAGGCTGGCCTCGAACTCACAGAGATCCGCCTCCCTCTGCCTCCTGTGTGCTGGGATTAAAGGTGTGTGCCACCACCTCCGAGCCTAGATTTCTTTTTTCAAGACAGGGTTGCTCTGTGTAGCCCTGGAGCTCATTCTGTAGACCAGCCTAGCCTACAGAGATCGCCCACCTCTGCTTCCTAAATGCTGAGATTAAAGGCATGCACCAGCAACACCTGGTATTAAGAACTAGATTTTATGGCCCTGTTTCCCAACTTCCCACCAATACACTCCTAGCTCAGCTATCTGGCTAGCCCATCATCTTAGGCGGGGCCTCACACTCTCCCCTTGCTCTATCCTGCACAGGATGAAGCCAGACTCCCATGCTGAACCACGAGGTCTCCCAGACTCCCATGCTGAACCACGAGGTCTCCCAGACTCCCATGCTGAACCATGAGGTCTCCCAGATTATGTTGTCATTTTTTTTTTTTTTTTTGGTTTTTCGAGACAGGGTTTCTCTGTGGTTTTGGAGCCTGTCCTGGAACTAGCTCTGTAGACCAGGCTGGTCTCGAACTCACAGAGATCCGCCTGCCTCTGCCTCCCGAGTGCTGGGATTAAAGGCGTGCGCCACCACCGCCCGGCTTGTGTTGTCAATTTTTCAGCTTCACTTCCTACCTTCTTATTTTTGCCAGCTATATTCTTTCTCTAGCCACACCAGGGTCCCACTCCCAGTTCTCTGCTCAGGCCGGAACCTCTGAATAGCTGCCCTTCCTCTCTGATCTAAAGAACCAGACTCACCTCACCTCCAGCAGCAAGCAATATTGCCTTCTCTCTCATTTACCACCTCCTGACTAATCCACTGAGCTAGGGCAGATTCCAAGCTCGGTGGAGACAGCCAGCAGCAGCCAGGAGGGAAGGGCTGACCTTGGCCTGGCCTTCGCTTTTCCCTGCACCACAGCCTGGCCATCCTCTGACCACTAGTATCAGCTCTCTGTTCAGTCTCCACAAAGGCAGGGACTAGGTCTGATTCTGTGTGTTCCAATCAGTACCTGGCCCAGAGAGGGAGCACAGAAAAATGCTGAAGTCCACGAACTTGGGATCTGAATGTTTCCAATGGGCCTTGTCTACCCAAAGTCTTGCCATTTGTTATTAAGATAATGATATCTTACTCGCGTTGGATAATGGCAACACCCTTCCCATATTATTTTAGTTGATCCATAAGTACATATCAGTAAGATGGGAAAATGCCACCTCTTTCTTTCTGTCTTCCTCCTTCCTTCCCTCCTATTTCTTTTTTGAGACAGGGTCTCCTGTAGCTCAGGCTAACTTCCAACTCCTTGAACTCCTGGAGGAGGCTCCCTCCCCACCTGCAAAGTGCTTGAATTATAACAGGTGTGCACAACCATGCCTGGTTTCCCACCTCTACTCTGTAGTGAACAAACTAGTGACTTACCCAAGAACTCTTGCCGATAGAGGACAGATCACACCTCGGGCCTATAGCCAGCTTAATCTCTGCCAATTAGACAGCATTAGAGGTGAGTGAGCGAGCCATTGTCCCATTATAAGGTCTCCTCTACAAAAAACACTCTAGAGCAGGGATACGCTCTAGACCTGGGGTCTTCCATGCCAACACGAGACGGTGTGTGTTGCTAGGCTCTGAACCTAGAGGCTCATGTGTGCTAGACAACCAGGAAGAAGGAGGCTTGCCTCCAATAACCCACTGGCACTCTAAGCCCCCGTAGAGCTGAAGTCTTCTTTGTCCCCCAAATACATCCCTGCCCTCTCTCCTCACAGCTGTCACATAGCATACATTGATCTGAGTCTCCTGAGGGGAGTCTCCCGAGGACATGCTAGCCCACTAGCCTTCCCATTCCCTAACAGGACCCAGCTCTACTGCAGAGAAATCCTCACACCATGATCCTTCTGCCCCTGGGTATTTTCCTTCTGCTTCTGGTAGACTCAGTTCTCAGGGTTTGGTAGTATTGTCTTAATGAGATTCCTACCCTACCCACCTACCAAGTCTTTGAAGGAGTTAAACAAAGGCAAGTGATTCTAGGGTTCACTAAGGGCATTTGTCACCTGCCCAGGGACTGAGACTCCTAGCCTGCTTCGCACTCCAGTTGGAACTCACCTTTCTGCCCGGCAGTGGCACACACCTTTAATCCCAGCACTAGGGAGTCAGAGGCAGACGGATCTCTGTGAGTTCGAGGCCAGCCTGGCCTACAAGACTTCAAAACTACAGAGAAACCCGTTTCAAAAAAAAAAAGAAAGAAAGAAAAAGAACCCCCCCCCCAAAAAAAACCCAAAAACTTCACCTTTCTTTTCCACTTCCCCACCAAAAGGCCTTGTGCCCCGGCCTTAGGTGTGCAACCCAATGCTGAGCCACACCCCACCCAACCCTCCGATGCTTTTATTTCTGTGTGCCCTCTTGTCTATTTCTCACACTCTGTAAGCGGGCTCCTAGAATTCACCTCACTGTGGTCATTTTCTTTATTAAGGTTCTCTCCCAAGAACCCATTCCCATCCCAATGTCTGGAGAGACGGGACTCTCAAGGACCAAGCTCCAGCCCCTATTACCACATTACCGTGTTACTGCAGCCTCATCCTATGCAGTTGTCTTGAGTTCTCCTGACATGCTGACTGTTCAGACATTACACCCAGCCTTCTGCTTGCCCTCACACCCTCCTTCTGCAAATCTCCCACTCAGTTGTGGGCGATGGAAAGAGTTCCTAACCTTAAGCGCCAGTAGCTAGCTAACTGCTTTTCATCTCTCACCCCTTAGTTCTCAAAGCATCTGTTTGTTCCCATTTTACAGACAGGAAAACTGAAGTGAAAACCGAGTATGGTGGCGCATGCCTTTAATCCAAGCATTCCGCCTTTCGTCCAAGCGTTCCAGAAGCAGAGGCAGGTGGATCTTTCGCGTCCAAGGCCAGCCTGTCCTCCAGGACAAGCAGGGCTACGTAGAGAAACCCTGCCTCAAAAAAAGTAAAAAACAAAACAAACAAAAAAACCAACAAGAAGTAAACAAAAGCCCCTGAAGTTGAGGAAAAGCAGACTGGGACTGGATTTGAAGTGCATCGCCATGTTCCACAGTATTGCCTCTGTGCCTGGTGTTTTGAGACAGGGTCTCACTTTGCAGCCCAGGCTGACTTCAAACTCTTGATCTCTCACGATCCTCCTGTCTCAACACGTTCCCCTACCCCCACCAACTGCTAGAATTACAAGCGGCAGACTCCACCGTTCCAGGTTCTTCTTGATAAAAGAAAAGCAGGGCGATTGGGGGGGGGGGGTGATTTGTGAAGCCCAGCTGTAACCGAACAAATCCCAACACTACTGACCACAGGAGAAGCCTGCCAAACTGCAACCAAAGGCAAGCATAGCCAAAGAAGAACACAGGTACACGCACGCTGGCGGTCGTACTGCACGTGCTCAACTTCCCGGCCCACGTTCCAGCTGCTGGACGGTACCAATGTCTGCAAGGGAGGAAGAAGGAGGAAGACAAGGTGGTCTCTGGAGCAACCAGGCGTGCTTTCATGCATCAGAACTCTAGTTCACTCTGCCTTACTTTCTAAACTCTGTTCCACACCGGTCAGGCCATGGCGCTTTCCCGGGCTTTGCACATAGTCTAGCCGCGGGAGATTCACCCCCTGCGAGAACATGGTACGGTCCGGGGCGGAGACTTAAACCCCGCCCTCTGGCGTCACGACCCGCCCCGTTGTGAGGTTATAAAGTGCGCGCGCGGCGGCGCTAGGCGCTGTGGCCGCGCTTCGCTGTCTTCTAGGCTTCACTGGGGTGGCAGCGGCTGGCCGTCTCGGCTCTCGTGCAGTCGCCGCCACGGCCTGGGCGCTGCTCCCCGGCTCCCCGAGCTCAGCGCGAAGCCCTGGCCCCGGCGGTCGGGGCATGGGCCAGGGGCGCGGCGTGAGGCGGCTTTCTGCACGGCCGTGACGTGCACCGACTTCAGCATGAAGACCCTCATCGCCGCCTACTCCGGAGTCCTGCGGGGTGAGCGTCGGGCCGAAGCTGCCCGCAGCGAGAACAAGAATGGAGGATCTGCCCTGTCACGCGAGGGGTCTGGGCGATGGGGTGAGTGTCAGTCACCCTGGGAGCTTTCCACAGCAAAGACAACTTTCAGGAAGGGACTCTGGCTAGCAGTGCTGCCCTGTGCTGGACGGGTTAGCCACTTCAGGCTGGCGTCCCAGACAACTACTTCCAGTTTTTAAAAAGGTCTCACCTAGTAGCCCAGGATGGCTTTCAGCTCGGAATCCTTCTGCCTCAGCATCCCGAGGGCTGGGGCTGCAGGTGTGTGCCACCACAACTGGCTTCTCGTTAGGGGAACCCAACTCTGCATCCTGTCATTTCTGCCTGGGATGAGGGTTACCGGTTTGAGCCAGGCAGCCTGGGATTCTAGTCAAACCTGGGTTCATTCTCCATCCTGGTGGCTCACCAATATTGCAACATGTGTTACATCACTTCCCATCCCCCAGCTGATGAGGGCGACACCACCCACTCTCCCCTGTTATTAGTGATATTTTACTCTTCAGCCCCCAGTTATTCTTCCTTGTCACAAGGTGGAACAGGATTTGGCTGGGAGAAACTGGATGGGGCAGGGTGTAAGGGTTTTGCAATCCCCTGAAACAGCCGCTGGATGGAGAACATGCCTGCCTGGAACAGGTGTGCCCCAACTGTCCTCTGTCCCGGCTTATGTGTGGCAACCCAGACTGTGGCACCCACTCAACAGCAGCAGCCCTGAGTCTGACATATTTAGAAGTGGGGTGGGAGACCCTGGGTTTTGTTTTTGTTTTTGTTTTTGTTTTGTTTTGTTTTTTGTTTTGAGACAGCATTTCTCTGTGTGTAGCTCTGGCTGTCCTGGAGCTCACTTTGTAGACTAGGCTGGCCTTGAACTCAGATATCTACTGGTTTGCTTTTCCTTCTTGAAGGTCTGCCTTCAAGGGAGAACTGAGACTTTCAGTGAACCGGGGGCAGAATTAAGATTCACACCACAGCTTTTCCCATACAAGGTTAAGCATCCCACACTCCCTAGCTGTACTTGTTGAAACTGAGGAGGAAGAAATGGTACTCAAGGTTTCCTTAGCAGGGCAGTGGTGGGGCACCCCGAAGACAGAGGCAGTCAGAGCTATTGAGTTGGAGGCCAGCCTGGTCTACAGGGCAAGTTCCAGTTCATGGAAAACTGGAAATTGAAAAATAACAAGTGATCAGAAAGAAAAAAGGTAAACCAGCCATCTGGTGGTTACTTCTATTAGTCCATAGTCAAGACCATGCTATAGATAACAGTTCTAAATCCAGTTTTGTCTTAACAGTAAATCATGAGTATCTCTTGCGATTTGTCAAAATCATTTCTTAAATGCTGGTGGCTGCAAGGTAACCCGTGCTGGAATTCCAATGACACTAACATTAGTCCCGTTGACCATTGCTGTGGTTATCTGCCCCCGAAGAAGTGAAATGGTCCCATCCCAGGGGCAAGCATTTGTGCTGCCCCATGAACCAGTGTATAACATCTTCTCTCAGAATCCTTCTTAACAGGGAAGGAAGTGACTTGCTCACATGCATGCTTTTAAGCGTTTTCATTGCAGGGTCATGGGTCTGCCATCCGTGGTGGTCCCTGTGGAGATATCCTTCCTGGTCTCTCCTCTGTCTTCCAGGGGCAGGAAGCCTAGTAACTATGTTTTTCACAGTTTTTTTTTTTAACTCAGGGAGGTTTGTACTCCCCATCGGATGATTTTTGAGCAGGTTTTTAGTATCCTAGCAGAGAGTTTCCCCTTGTTGTTGTCCAACCTTGAAAATACAATGGAAAAAATGTGGGTGTAATTGCCTCATAGACTGTAACAAAGACCAATATGAAATGCAAGCTAGTCAGTTTAGCTCTCTGGGATCTTTGGCGAAAGACTAGGTGGGGTAGGGGAGGATGCCCAAGCAAATTTTGTTATCTTGACATCTCTGAGAGGCCTCTCTACCTCCTTGGTCCTTGAAGACACTCCCTAGTGGCCTAGTTTGCCTCAGAGGATCAGTTCCCACTGAACACCCTGTTAGTGGCAGTCTTGAAGGAAGGAGGGCATGGATTCTGTGAAGGGAAGTTCCATGATGGGTGAGTGACTACATAGATAACTTGGTGATTGTTTGGTTGAAGCTTGGGTGGTATGCCTTTGTTGCAACAGAGGGAGTTTTTGGTACTTTTTTCCCCCTTTGGTTTTTCAAGACAGGGTGTCTGTGCATTGCTGGTTGACCTGAAACTCACTCTGTAGACCAGCCTGGCCTGAACTCAGAGGCCCCTCTGCTTGTCACCTGAGTGCTGGGATTAGACACATGCACCACTACTCCTGGTTTGTGGTATTTTCTAATCTCTGAAAGACTGGCTTGGACTGTGATTTGGAAGCCATAGTTAAATCCGTGCACGTCCCTGCTTTGTTTGCCCTTGGATGGGGAGCTTTTCGTGGTAGAGTCCTTGAATGCTTGTGTCTATTCTTAGGGTTCTGTCCAGGACCCAGCATGAGGTAGTGCAGTGTAGTTCTGAGCTGGTACATTGTTTGGCCCCCAAAGCCTAGGACAGAGGTGGAGTCACAGTCCGGGTTTTGATAGAAGAATCCCAACAGTTGTGGATGACTTCTTAGCCTAGATGGTGGAGATGGAGCTCCCATCTCTGGGAATATGCTAGGTGGAGTCAGATTGTTGGGGTAACTCTGGAACTGGGGGTTGGCAATCGTCTAACAAAGTCTTTGTGACTTGTGACTCTCCTGTCCCTGCTCCCTCAGTTCTGCGTGGCTGTCCCCCCAGCTACAGAGACTACTTTTTTGAGTTAGCTCTGTGCCAAAGACTCGTCTAAGTGTGGAAAGGAGAGCCAAGTGTAATGCTTTATTAGCAGGTGACTCAGTGGCAAGTGTGGAAACTCTGCCCCACCTCCACCCTCCTGCTCCTAAATTCAGGAGCGTGTACTTGAGTTAAAACCAACTGATGTTGGATCTGGCCCAACCGCCACAGCACAGATGAGCAACCCAGAAGAACTCACTAGAACCCGGCTCTGTCTCCATGGGTGCCTATCAGCTTTCTTATGCCAGAGGTGTGGGGACAGCAACACTGAGCGCTAACCAGCATGTGTGTGTGCCTTGCAGTTGCCAAGTGAGTGCCGATTGCTTCTTAACTCCATGACGGGCATGGTGTCTCCTTCCCAAGCTTTCGAGGGAACTCCCCTAAACTTGGTGGATAGGGTTACCAATAGCCCACATAACTTTATCTGACTAAATGAACTGCCCTCCTCCCGGCCTCCTGGACTTCAAACCTCCGATTTATGAGGCTACCGGGATACCCACCACCTGATAACCTCCTGGTCACCATGCCATGTGCTGGTGGTCTTTCTGGTCCTCCATCATAGTCCACCATTGAGTTCTCTCTCGGGGTCTCTGCACTTGCTCTCCCTTGGTAGATCTCCCAGGTTGTTACCCCATCCTCTAGTCCCAGATCTTTTCCTTCTGTAGACCTTATCATTACCTAGTTGTGGCATGCACTTACTGTTTGAGTTATTGTCAGCCCTTGGGAGCAGGGGCCTCGTTTGTCTTCCTGAGCCTTGTGTTGCCAGTGCCCAGCACTGTGCTGTCAAGTAGTAGGAACCCTGTAGATATTAGCTGAGTGAGTGAATTAGTGGGACTTGCCAGGTCCTCTTGGCAGGAAGCCCTGTCTTTAGCTTCAGTGAATTCCTTAGCTTTCCCCAGGTCTCTTTGCCCGTATGTGTTAAGTGTCCTCGAGACCCAGTCTGATTACGAGCTTGGCTTGGGGGCTAAGTGTCAAGTGGGTGGAACCAGGTGAACCACGATCCCCCCACGTGGTTCTATACTGTAGAAGGCCAAAGCCAGGATTCCTGCCCTGTCTCTTTTTTTCCTCTGAGACGTGATGGGTTCACAGCCACTGGAGACTTTATTTTCCTATTTTGAAATAGATTCAAATCCAGGTGTAGTGGTGCACGCCTTTAATCCCAGCACTTAGGCAGAGGCAGGTGGATCTTCAAGTTCCAGGTTAACCAAGGCTATACACAGAAAAACCATCTCAAGCAAACAAAAGCAACAAGAAAGATTCAGACATCTCAAAATTAACACCTGAGGGTTTGAGTTAAGGTGAATGGGATGTGTTTGGTAACTGATTTGCGAGTGAGCCCCCTTTTTAATCTATAAGTCATACAAGAAGTCTTAACACCATAGACAGAGGACCTTGGTCATGTTATAGTCAGAGTTGTAACTCCAGGATGTTGGGAACCTCGTAACCTAAGTGGCCTACTTCCTTGGCCTCATCATCAAAGATTCTACCTTACTTCCTGAAAGTAGAGTAGCTGAAGACTTGTTCCTGGAGCAGGTTCTCCTCGGGAGGGGCTCAGATCGAGTAACTGAGCTCCTCTTGTGTGTCGGCCAGCAGGCCTGACTTTAAGGAAGGGAGGCCAGAGGGGTATGCACACATTGAGATGGTGTGACCAGGAGGAGAGGAGGAACTGGGCCTGGAGGATGAGGGAACTAAGTCGCCTTGGCATGAGGGAAGGCTTCCTAGCAGAGGAGGGGATGATCAGTCTGACTTGTGAAGGATGAAATGACATCAGCAAGGCAGATAAGAAGTAGGACCGGTGAGATGGCCCAGGGGGTAAATGTATTGCCTTGACACCTGATCACCTCACCAGTTCAATGCCTTTCACCCATCATGGAAGGTAAGGACTCCCAAAAGTTGTCCTTGGACCCCCCTTACATGCGCACAATAATTTTTAAAAAGATGTCCTAGGCATAAGGAATAATGTAAAGAGACACAAGTTTAGGTAGAAAAATACAGTGACTGAAGGTCTTTGAGGGGCCAGCCTGGGCTGCAGTCCCAGTGGAGGGGCCAGCCTGGGCTGCAGTCCCAGCATAATCCTCAGTAAAGACAAATGAGACAGAGGATGTTGTGTCCTGACCTGTGGGATTAATCTGCATCTGCCTTAGAAGACTTAGGTGTCCCAGGAGAGGAGCCTGAGATAGGCAGATACTCATGAGCTGGTGTCAGCTCCTTGGGGGGTTTGGGACTGGAAGGCAGACGTAGGTATGTGTAGTCCTTATTCT